GGATTTGTTCCTCGTTGTATTAAAGTGGAGAAAAAAGATGGAGTTTGGTGTGTGGGAGCAGAGATGGACGCGCAGATTACAGGAGCTGCCTGGGTTTCAGTAATATGACAGCTTCAGTGAGCTGCTGCAAAGAAACAACTTTTACTTTTACGTGACACTAAAGTCTGAAATGTTTGCGGCTTTTTAAAGCGTTGTGTGGTGTGAATCTGTCATCCTGAAGGTGTAGAACGTCTGTCCAGGAGGCCGAGTTTCGTGGACACCGTCTCCCTCCAAGTGGACATCATTTCCAACAGCCTTCCAGAAAAGGTCTGAGTAATCTTCTTTAAAGCAGCGTCTGGTCCTGGAGGGAAACGCAAGCTCACGTTTGTGTTTCTGTGTCCACAGTCGCAGCTGGCTGAGGAGATCACGTTTGAGACCCTGAAGAAGGCCATCGGTAAGAACGCGGCGACTTCCTGCTGTTCCTCATGTTGACTCTGGGTTACTTTGTCCACCAGGCAGCCATCTTCACCAACACCTGTGGGCTCTAATGTGTTCAGTTATCGTTAAAAATGATCTAAATGAACTTTTAATTTCAGTGACCAGCAGGAAAAATGCTCATGTAGCAGCAAATCTGATGAAACCACTTAAAGTTTGCAGATTTAGCCTCAAAATACGTTTTCAAAAGCTCTGATTTTATGACGTTTCAGTGAAATTTTCACCATTAAAAAATGTTTTTTTACGAGAAGCTCGTCTCGCGGAGAAGAAAGAGCGCTCACAAACCACCGCGCAGTTAAGTCTCTGTTATTAAAGCAGCTCTGTGTTTGTGGTTTTCAGACACCACCGGTTTGGAGGAGCAGGAGAGGGCGAAGAGGCGCCAGGTGATGGAGAAGTTCCAGAAAGCGCCGTTCGAGGAGATCGCCGCCCACTGCGAATCCAAGGTTATTAAAAACAAAACAAAAAAAGAGCCAGAAATCAGAAAATAATAAAGAAAACACCCAAATAAACTCCTGCTCGCTTCTTCCAGGCAAACATGCTGCACGACCGGCTCGCACAAATCTTTGAACTCACAATCAGGTGAGTTTTCTGATTTAAATATATGAATTTAGATCAAAATACACCACATCAGAAAAGCTTAGGCGTGATCACAGAAAGTCAAACCCAGAACACCTGACTGATCTCCCGTCGAGCTCGTCCAATCAGCTCTGCTTCCAGCGTCCCGTCACGTTCTGTCCTCGCTGCTAAAGCTGCGTCTGTGATTTCACCACCCTGGCTGAGACTGTGACGCCCTGAAGCCTCAATCACCCGCCGTCACCACAGTGTTCTCCTCAACAAACAGATGTTTGGTTATTTTGGCCCAGATGTGGCTCCAGGTGAGAGTGACCGCCTGAGTTCACCTGATCTGCACCAGGCTTCAGGCGTGTCGAGATATTTGGAGCGAATGTGGCTCATGATAAAACACGACTCAGTGTTTGTAGGCTTAGCTGTGTTTGTCTGACATGTTCTCACAGCTTTTTTGATTGCATCGTCACGTGAACACAATAACAGTGTGTGCAGCACGTGAACGAGTACGACGCCTGCAAATAACGTGCACTTTTCCTCATAGTCATGCTTACATCGCTAACACGGCGGTCTGAAACGGTTTGAGTTGAGTTCCCCTCAGTACTGGCCGCCTTTTGAAAGGATCTTTTAGAGGAAATTACCTGCTGTGTAGTTCTCCTGAGTCACAGCACTGTGAGCGTGATTACACCCGGCTGTGTTAGCTGGGACGTGCACGTACGTGTGGGCAGGACTGTCGGAGCGCTGGAGGCAGTGCACAGGTGCACAAGGAGACGACTTTGAAAGGGACAGGAGCCTAATAATCAGGTTCATCAGGTGGTTTTTCTTCCTAAAGGTTACATTTGTGCACCAGTCAACCAGTTTTTCCTTCTAATTTAATATCCTGTTTTCCCCCCCCTCACCAGGCCTCCTCCCAGCCCGTCCGGAGTGGTTTCCATCTCAGCGGGACACACCCAGCATCAGTCCGTCCCCGTCTACGAGATGAAGTTCCCAGACCTGTGTGTCTACTGAACGCACACATCCACAAACCAGCTCACACGCAACATTGAAAATGCACAGCAAGAACAACACACTCACATCTGCACTCCAGTCTCCTCCGTTCAGGTGGCGGGGACGCCGTCAGGGACGAAGTTGAAATCCCGTTTCCCGTCTTCACTCAAACCTGCGTTAATCTGATTGGCTACACTTTGTTTCCTGACTCGCGTCCCTGAAGCCAAACTGAACTTTTGAGTCACCGAGAACAAAAAAACAACAACAAAAAACCATAAACTGCTTCCACTCTGAGGTTTTAGTGCATTTCTGCTGAATCGGACGTTGCTGCTCTGTTCCAGTCCAGCCAAAGCTTCACTCCTTGTACATACGCTCTCTTAAAAAAGCAGCGTGAGGCTCACAAACGCAGCTCCTGCCTCCTAACAACTATCTGTCTCCTGTCAGTAGCCGTCGGTGCCGTCACTGATTAGTAGGAATGTGCAATAAAACATATATATATATATATATATATTAGCCGTCAGCTATGAAAACTGAAATTACATAAGTGTTGGTAGAAAGCAGTTTAGTTTCAGGCTCGCTGCTCCTCAGCTCTTCGCTCTAATCTTCAGTCTTTGCTGTTTAAGATAAAAGTGTCACAAATGACTTCTTATGAATAAATTCAATGACGGCAATACTCGAACTGCTTGGCAGCGACACTCAAAAGCTGAAGAGTCGACGTTTGGACGAGTAGAAATGGGCTCGCTCGTGTTTGGTGATGACGTGATCGTTTCTGAGAGGCGTGAGTCTGTAAGAGGAAGGTCAAGAGGAGCGTTCATGTCCATCAGCTCCCACCTGAGACTCTATAAAAGATAGACATAGTCAGTGTGTCAATTTAGTGGGGAGCTTTGACATTGGATTACCAAATGGTGGAACTAAGACTGTATACTCAACTAGTACTACTAGTACTACTAGTAGTACTAGTGGAGTAGCCACAGGTGGACAAAATCAACAGAGACTGTATAAAAAAGATGGATAGAGCCACAGAGACATCAGCGTCTGGTTTTGAGCTCCACATTTGGATGATGTCATAATGTAGTCACATGATCAGAGCAACCACGTCTCCTGTATCCAGATGAATTATTTAAAAAAACAGTTTTTTAATCTAATCAGGATGTAGTCGTGTTTATTTCTGCTGAAAGCTTCAACACGAGAGTCTGAGGACTGTCTCACTGCTGGAGTCGCCCTCAGGTGGCCGTGAAAGGAACTGCAGTC